GCTGTTTGCTCAGCTGCTATACCTCGATGCCTGGAGTAATTTCAATATGATTGTCAGAAGAACTGAGTACTCATCCATTTTCTTTAACCTTATCACTGGAGCACTTGCTAAACGTGGTGTGGATGAAGAGGAATTATGACAGGCTGTCTAAAGCACTTACGAGACAATTTGGGGCTGCAATGTCCCCCTTAAATAGCAGCCTGTCAGGTAGAAAGAATTGCGACAGGGGTCCTCAGAGGATCTGCTTTCCTACCCACTGGACAAGGCTTAGTGTCATCGTCAGCCCTTCTCCCTGCCTATGAAGCTCTTGGTTCCTCAGGGGTCTACATACTCTCAGCTTTCTTCCCTGGAGGGCCACTCCGACCCCTGTATCTCCCAGTGTGTCTCCACCTGCCTGTGGAGTGTTGGAGGCCTCTTGCTTGCAGCCTAGCCAAGTCCAAATCTGAGGACCTTCTCCAAGCCCTCTCTGTTTCAACTCCCCCCTCCCTCTTAGACACATCACCTGTGCAGCCCCCCAGGCATGAACCTCCTTCCAGGCTGCACTCTCCACATTTCGTTTCTAATCGGTCTTACATTCTCATGTTCTGTGTGCTTTCTCCGTCTCTTACAGCCCCAATCCCCCCGCTGTGTCTTCCATCACCCCCAGCCACTGTGATGCTGTTTCTAAAGTATTAATTCACTGCTGGTGTTCCCCTGTGCCTCTGCTTCCCATTCCAAAAAGAAACTGACCCAAACCTCTGTGGGACACAAGGCACCCTGATGTGCCCTGGCTCCCTCCCGTGATGTCTCTTCCCACCTAACAACTCCTCCAGGCTACTAGGGATGACCAAAGCACATCCATTCCTGATCTTCAAGCCTTTCTCCTATTCACGTCATTATCTGACAATTTCTTCCTCCAATCCATAGTCACTTGGCCCCAAGTGCTTGAGATCACAGAGTTAAGAGTGTAACGCAGAAGTTTCTTCAGGTCGTGGTGGATAGGAAGCAGAGAGAGAGAAGAAGGAAACAATGAGAAGGAGACCAGCATCCTGCCTTCCAGGCACTCACCACATGCTGGAGTTTCCAGAACCTCCCTGGATTCATTCTTTTTCTTGTGGCTATGACAGATCTCCTTAAGGAAGGAGGAGTCCATTTTGTCTCCCAGTTTGAGGGTACTATCCATCATGGTTGGGAAGGCATGTCAGCAAGAACGTGAGGTCATCACATCCACAGAGGGACAAGTGTTAGTGCTCAGCTGACTTTCTCTTTTGTTACAGTTGAGGACCCACCTAGAGAATGGTACCACCACAGTCAGGCTGGATCTTCTTCAATTAACCTAATCCAGAAGCTCCCTCACAGACATGCTCAGAGGTTTGTCTCCACAGTGATTTTAGACACTGACAAGTTGACAATTAGCATTAGCCATCACACTCCCACAAGAGCTCCCCCTGCTGGGGACCAAGTGTTTTTAACATGGGTGCCTGTGGAGGACACTTTATACCCAATCCACAAGGGAATGAAGAAGAGAAAAGGTAAATGAGACCTGATAGAAAATCCATCTTTTGTGTTCCCACTCACATGGTGCCTTCCCATGGAGCCTCTACTAACAGCCTAGACAGACAGAGTGAGTGTGTAAGACAATGAACAGGAGCAGGAGGCGTGCTCCTGAGACTTGCTGTGTGAGGTATGTGGCATGTTCTTCTCAGCACTGCACATTCATCTATTTACTCATCTTCACACCCATGCTAAGATCACCTTCTAGGACCTGCCCTTAACAATCTGTTTCCTCCAGCCAAGAAGTTGCCAGAAACTCCCAAAGTAGTGTCACAAGGTAGGGACATCAACTAAAGACAAACATTTCCCACAGAAGCCAGCAACTGGCCTGAGGGTGCATCCTACCCATCATGCTCCTGGTACTTGGTGTCTACTACCATAGCCCAGAGCACCCTGAGCCACGTGGAGCTGGGTTCTCGCTTTGAGGTGGAGCTGCCGCAGGCCACTGACAGCCCTGGCTCCCCTGTCGTCACATGTAGCACCTCAGCCCGGCCTGCAGGGAAGAAGGAGCCAGCCACACAGACTTTAGTCATGGAAGACCTTCACTACCAGATGGTAAACTGTGTTCTGAAGTGACAGGAAATGGAACCCAAAGGCATGAATGGTCCTTTGGTAACGACTACTGTGGCTGGAATCTGAGGTGAGCTAGGGTCTAGAAGGCCACGTTCTGTGTTAGGTCAGGGAATGTGAGTGATGTAGCAGGCCAAGGCTGAGAGGCTAATGTGGACTAGGCAGAGGGACTGAGACATGTATGCCCAGGTCTTAATGTTAGCAACCTCTTCTGGAACATTGTCAGCCCCTGCCATATCCACTTGGAAGAGTTAAGAACCTAAACCCTCTGCCTGCTGGGTACCAAATGGGTAAAGAATGAAAAGCCAGTATCCCAACACTGATGGGCCAGGAGCTACACCCCAGCACTTCACTGTCCTGTGCCCAGCACCACAGACCCACAGGCAGCAGAGGAAATGTCTTACCTCCCCTACCTGACATCACCACCGGAATGCAGAGCAGCAAATGGGAAGAATGCTCAGCTGAGCACTCCTCTCTGCAGTCTGCTCCTGAAAGCCAAGGCAGAAAAGGCCTTAATACCCATCACTGCACATTTTATTTATGCAAAATACTAATTGGCTACAGCCTGACTTGATTCAAAAAGCCACTGCCAGCTGAGTGCATAAAAGGAGCTCAAATTTAGGGGTTCATCGTAGGCAATCCTGTAAGAACAGGTGCTTAAATTAAATTAGGATGTGTCCTTGCTTCTGGAAGGTTTCCAGCTTGCTTCAGGTTGAAGTGAGCAGCACATTAGAAAGCGGGAAGCCTACACTGAAAACCAGTGACTAAAGAACCTTCCAGAGCCACCATGCTGTATTTCCACAGAAAACATTCACAGGCCTGGAGGTGCAAACCTGTCATCCCAGCCATTCGGGGAGCTGAAGCAAGAGGATCCCAAGTTCAAGGTCAGCCTGGAGAGTAATAAATAAAAATTAAATAAATAAATAAAGTAAAATAAAAAGTTAAAAGGAAAGCTGGAGGGTAGAACTCAGGCAAGACCCTATGTTCAATTTCCAATACTATAAACAAAGAAAGTACAAAATAGTCCATATTTTTGCTTTTCTGTATTAAGCAAAATACCTACTCTCAATATTTTTTTTCTAGAATTTCTTTAAACAAAAACAAACAGCAAACAAAACTGACTTTATTTCCTGATCCGTTCTCTAGCTGGTGTGGTCTGCATACTGTGAAGTTCAGATCCAGATGCTAGAGGCTTGGACGGAGCTGACTGGGGCTCTGCAGATAGGCTGACTTGGTGTGACAGCTTGGGAGCTGGGCTAGTCCCTGGGCCACTGAACCTTGAATTTGACTGCACATCAAAGTCACCAGGACGTACTTCAAAATATTACTGCCTGGGTCCCGCTCCAGAGCCTCTGGCTAGACTGATGGTCTGAGCAGTAGGGATTTTTTTTAAAGCTTCCCAGTGTCGTCTATTATGTGTTGCCTTCTGAGAACCACCCCATGGACCAACTCTGTCCCCTCCCCTAGGAAGCCAATGATGCACCCAGGGCCAGACTCTATTTTGTGCCACAATACAGTTCTATTAGTGTGTTGCCATCAGTCTGCGGCCAAAGAGAATGACCAGAAAACCTTGCCGCTACCCATCATCCCAGACCTCGGCTCACTCGGGCCAGGGCTACTGCTTGCTACCCGCTGCTCCATCTCCTCCCTCTGTGTGGTCACATCTGTGGTGACTACAGTCATCCTGTCAGACTCTTGCCCCTCTTCTCTGAACACACAGACACTGGACTCACCCTCAGCAGGCCTGCATCTGAATGTGTGGCCCCCTACCCAGACATTAGTCAGCAGCTCTCAGTGACTGCCAGTCTCCTCCTGCAGATCCTCAGAAACTGGCTCCCAGTCCCTTCTTTATTAATCCTCTGCTCCCAAGAATCTTGCCCCCATTTCTCCACCTGCTTTGCCGACTCCAGATCTGGTCTCTCTCTGTGCTGTCATCCCACCCCACCCCCAGCTTGTCAATCCCTCCTGATCCCACGTGTTCAGGTCTCAGCTGAAAACCTCTTGTTTGGCATTTCAGCATGTGCTGTAACATAGATGACCCCTGAAGACATTGTGCTCTGTGAAATAAACCAGCCACGGAAAGACAGACACTGAAGCCTCAAGTGAACAGTTCACAGACAGTCGGAGCACAGTGCTAGGTGCCAGGGTCTGTAGAGAGATGACAGGGGCTATGCTTCATGGGACAGACTGTCAGTTGGAGATGGTGGAAACATTCCATGGGTGGGAAGTATGATGGTGTGAAAGTGCTTGGTGACATGAACTGTGAATTTTAAAGTAACCAGTACAACTGCCCTTCCTCTTTGGTAAGGAAGCCTGTCCTGCCCTGACCTGGGCCAGACAACCCATGACTTCCCAGATTCCCCATATCTCCACCTCAGGTTAGCCCTTGCCAAGATCTGAACTCCTCAAAACATTGTGAGTACTATTGTCACATGGTGGTACCGACCTACCGCCATCCAGACACATGACAAGTTCAGACAGGCACTAGCCATCCCAACTCCCTGTGAAAGCTGAAAGATGTAGAGCTAGATCTCCAGCCCCCATGGCCTACAATTTAATCACCAGGAAAAACCACGGTGCTGAACTATCAATCCAATTCCAAGTACCACTGTTCCAGTACGCAGGAGTATCAAGCCACAAATGATCCAATCATGACAACGCGGATGTTAAATTGAAAAACAATGGTGACACTGGGCAAACTCTGCAGAGTTTGAGTGTCTGATCAATCCCTAAATGTGGGCTATGTTGCAGGGGAATCAGCCACAAATGATTCCATGACCACCTTTATTCAATCAGACACACACAGCAGGTGAACAAACGCCGGGCAGTTTCAAACGTAAGAACACCTAAACCCACTCCCTGCTTACTTCTGCTATTGTTTCTTCTTTCCAAATCAGATATTTATCTTTGAGAACAACATCTACTACTGCGCACATGTTGGGAAGCAGGCAATCCGAGTGGTCTCTACAGGGAAGGAGGGTGTGGTCTACAACGGCCTCAGTGACTGGCTGTATGAAGGTAAGACCTGAGGGGTAAAGATGCAGAGTATTTGCCCACAGAGCAGCTGCTGCAGTGCTGGATTCAACTTCTGGACTAGCTTTCTTTTCTCTTCGACTTAGTTATAAATTAAACTTCAGTTTCCTGAAGGCCATTGAGCTCCAGGGAACACCAAGTCAGCGTTCATGGGTGGCAGGTGCAGGGACTTACAGGTGGTAGATGTGAATACTTACAGGTGCCAGATGTGGATACTCACAGGTGGCCAGGAATAGGGGATTCACAGGTGAGGAAGGATTCACAGAAAGCAGATATAAGGGCCTTCACTGAACCCACTGGTGCTTCTATAAAAGGAGAGTTCCTTCATGGGGAAATTGTCTGAGTGCTCCCAGTACAAATGTGTGTGTCCCTCTACCTGCTCCAAGAGTTAAAACACCTGTCTGCATCTGGGAGAGGTCAGATGTTTTAGTTGTCTTGGTGTGGCACAGTACCCTCAGTTGGGTTGGGAAGGATCAGGGATGCTCTTGCTTCATGGGGGCTGGTACCAATTCCTCCTGGAGCTATGCATTTCTTAGGCCTGGACTTATGCCTATGGGAGCATATGGTATGGAGGGGCGGTATACTTCCCATCACAGCTCACTGAAATCTCAAGTTTCAGCAGATTGCAAGCACAGCCAGATGTGCCACATACCCCAATCAGAATATGGTATTTTTCTATCATCCCAGAGTCCCCTGAGCCCCTTTCTGGTCAATGCCCCCCTCCCCGCAGCAGCTGGAGATCCCAGCAGCTCTTGCTTCTGTCTGACAGACAAGCTGAAACTGCCACATGCAGGCAAGGGGGCTCTCCAGCCAGTCTCCTTAGAGCCCCAGTGCTAGTCGGTGTTCAGATCACTCTTAAGAACCCAGTTTCCAGGTTGTCCTCTGAGATCCAGGGCAGTCAGCTCTGAGACTTAGTTTCACATGATCCCCTAGGCCATTCCTGAGGGAGCTGATGGAGTGAAATAGATGTGGGCTGGCTAGTGTCCAGGCTTGCTCTGTACAGAAATGGCCCTGGGAACAGCAACCCAAGCTCTCCCCAGCTCCATCCAGATTACTCTAGAGGGGCTGTATTTCTGCACTGGGTGCAGGCCCATGTGTGCCCAGCAGTCAACAAGAGAGATCATCTCACATACCAGATAAAATCATCAAGAGAGAGGACCCTGTAGTCCTGTGCCCCAAGAGACAACCAAAAAGCCTTTGAGAAACCACCAGAAAACCAAGCCCTGTTAGTGCCTGCTCTGTGAGAGGCTTTACTAGGCATGTCCAGCCTATGATGACAGGAAAGCAGCCCTAAATCATAAACTTACTTAAAAGATCATGACATGTTTTTAAAATTTCTTTGGTTACTTGACTGTGCAGATATTGAGTGAGAATTTTCTACATGGTAAATGGGTGCACATGCCCACCTCTTGCCTATACGTGATGCCTTCCAAATCTGGATTGGGCCTGCTATCTATCTTGCTGGGGAGTGGTTAGTAGCAGGGTTAGTAGCAAATGGGGTTACAGGGTCACATGTGAGGTCCATCATGACCTTGTAGAGCTATTTCACCTCTAAGAACTCAACATGCTCAAATAACACATTGGAGGGATCCAATGTGAGTTGTGACCAGAACAGATTTAGCACAACATGGCAAATGGCAGGTACTAGAGGATCCTCACACACACACACACACACACACACACACACACACACACACACACACACACATATAATCCTATTACACTAACAGTGGCTGTATTAATTATTGTTTAACCTAGTCACTGGTATTTTTATTGCAAAGGAAAGAATATATTATCTGTTCTAGTTTCATTCTGTTATTGTGTTAAAACACTCTGACCCAAACCAACTTAGGGAAGTGAAAGGTTTATTACTCACAGGTCACAGCTCATTGCTGAGGAAAGTCGGAGCAAGAACTCAAGCAGGAATCTGAAGTAGCATCCATGGAGGAACACTGCTTGCTTGCTGCCTGTGGTAGCTTTCTTACATGCCCCAAGTAGTGGTACCTACCTAGGGAATGGTACCTCCCACAGTGGACTGGGCACTCCTACATGAATCAAGATAATCCCCCACAGACATGCCCACAGCCCAGTCTGATGTGGGTGAGTCCTTAGTTGAGGCTCCCCTCTCAGATGACTCTAAGTTGTGTCAAGATGACAATTAGGGTGAGCTAGTGCAATATATTTTTAAAAGGAGGGAGAGAAAGAGAGAGATGGAAGCATCCAGGCAGGATTTGCCACAGTTTGGAAACTGTCTGTCTTGAATTTCATGGGAGGCTGGTGCAAGCTAAGCTCCTTGAGGGCCCCATAGAGAAGGGCCTTGGGTCTGGCTGCAAGAGCCTCAGCTCACTCTGTAACTAATCTCCTTAATAACATCCATAGCCAGGAGGTTTAAAACATCTTTCTCGGTATCTCAAAAAAATAAAAAATTCATTGCTTTGCCATTCAAGTTAAGCTTAACCTTAGCAAATCCATTGAAAAGATTCTTTATTTTCTTCAAGGCATTTACAAGAAATCATGTAGCTATGTTAACAGAAGCTCAAATATTTCAAATCAATCTCTCAGTGATGGGGCAGCTTAATCTGCTTACCCTTGTTCCCTGGATGGTTCTATATGCTGACGCTCAGACTTCTGAAACGGGGAACCTGGGAGCCCTGGGGGACACTGTGTCCTTTTTTTTAATAACAGGAGAATAAACTTAGAAGATTGCCTTGGCCTAATCAGTGACTTAACTGCTTTATTTCCAGGCTCTTGCTTCAGAGTGGGCAGGGAGTAGATGAGAGAAATCATACCCAACATTTGCAGAGGGCCCTGCTTGCCTGGAAGGGTTAGTTCTGAGAAGCAGCTAAGACACAGTAAGCGAGAAGCATACTGCAGTCTGCAGTTATTGGCAGCGAGACACCACATTGATTTTTGTTTCCCAAAAAGAGCCTCAGACATATTGAACACTTCAGAGTGCTGGAGACAGAGAGAGAGATAAGTAGGAAGCCGGGGGGCTGCTGGGAATCTCCATCCCTTGAGCAGAAAGATCTCCTGCCGGTAGCTACCAGGCAAAACCCCGGCTCAAGGCTGGCTGTGTACCCCACACCATCTTCTGGGTAACTTTCCAGGGCTTGTATGGACCAGAGACTAGTTTTGATGAACAAAATATGCATCTTTTGTCCTGTGAGGAAATGCCATGTAGCATTGTGGAATTACAGTTTAATAAAAAGAAAAAGACAACTTGATAGTATTGGCAGCTTTTAAGTTTTACTGAACTTGGTTCTCCATAAACTAAATTTAAGGTGTTACTAGAATGTTCTGATGACTGTGAAGGAATGTTCCATGAAGAATCCATGCTTTGAGCAAGGCTTAGTAATTCAAAATGCTCCCAATGTGGGAGCATTTGAGCAGAGTTGTAATTATCCAAATTTTTACAAAGGTTTTTTGTTGCCATGGTTACAGAGCTGGTTGCTACCCTTTGTTTATAAAGTACTGTCAGCTCATTTTCATCCCTATCAAGTACATGAGCTAGTGAGGACCAACACAGAATTGTTGCTGGTAGTTTTCTAATAACAAGAATTTAAGTCCCTAAATGTTCCCATTAAGTGATGAACCAATCATCTATTCCTCTCCCGCTAAACAGCAGTGTATAGGACCCAAACCTAGCATAGGTGCTTAAAGGCATGCTGCTCTCATACAATGGTCATGTCTGATGAGAGTCAGATGTCCTGGGGTCACCTGAGAATGGCCCCTCTCTCCTTGTGTAGAGGACTAGGAACTCTCATCCCAATTCATATGAAAGGATGGAGAGAGACCAAGAGACTGTGAACTTGAGAAACTATTCACAGAACACAGCCTGAAGCCTTAAGAAGGCTGAGGCCACTAGGACCTGAGAAAGTGGCCTGGAGGATATTTACTTAGATTTTTTTTTCAGTCAGGTTTGGTATGGATGACATTCCAGGGCTGACCTTTAACCTTACTATTCCACAGGGATAAGGTGCTTGGAACATGGGATCAGATCAAGAGAAACTATTTGACAGGGCAATGTTGCCCGTGTGGGTGTGGCAGGGGCATGCTCACTATGGCTCTTGAGCAGCTATGCCTGTTGCCATCCCCCCCAACATGTCCTGAAGACCATCCCCTCAGGTGGTTCCTGACCAGCAGTGACCAGATGGAAGGGATGTTGGAACAGTGTGTGCTCTGCTGTGTCTTCTGCAGTTCTCTGGGAAGCAGTGTAGAGGGAGGGAGCCTGTCTGACCATAGGAGCCCTCTCCCCACTGATAGTAGCTACACAGAGGCTGAAGCTGGTTTTGAACTCTCTCCCTGGTTTGGACCTGTCCTGCTAGACTGCTTCTTAGTCACTGACAGCTGCTATCTTTGGGAGCCCAAAGTTCCTTGTGATCAGTTGTAGAAATTCAATATTTTGAACACCATATTGGCTCTACCTGTGGTGTCTAGAGGAGGCTGTGGAAGGAAAATTAATGATGGAAATATCTAAATGTAATCAGCACTCACCAAATTTTCTGCCCTCTGAGGTGCCGTACAGCAGAGCAAAGGAAAAATGGATTAGCCACGATTTAAGCAAGAGGCTTACTGCAGCTAGGATGTAATGTGACTGGAAGACTATTTTCACTGCCTGGCTCTCGTCTCCAATTCCATACAGCGTCCCTGGCAGCTGACAGCATGGGGACTGTCTCTTGTGGAGGTGCAGAGGAAAAGATGAGAGCCATGTGGTAGAGACGCATTCTGCCGTGACAGGGCATGGAGTGAGATGGTGCTTCTCTGCTCCTCTGCTTTCTCTGATACAGTGCCAGCCAGATCCACATGTCTGGTTTTACACAGATCAGCCTAAGAGCAATGGGCGAAGACAGGGAATCAGAATCAGGACACGGCATAAAATGTGGCAGCCATGTCCAGAGCGAGGACAACCAGGGGCCTCCTTGTCACTGTTCAGCTGTCCTGTGCCGATGCCTCCTCTCTGGCCCCACGTCCTGCCAACCCCTCCC